TGAACAATATGAGTTTGAACTGTGCAAATCCACTTATATGTGATTTTTTTCAATAAATACTGTTAAATGTATTTTTTCTTTCTTATAGTTTTCTTAATACCATTTTCTTTTCTCAAGCTTACTTTATGGTAAGAATACAACCAGAGGACTAGTATGCATGCATATAAGCCTAACCAATGGACACAGACACCAGGGGGGTGAGGGCATGAGTGGGGAGGCAGAGTGGCAATGGGGGGATAAGGACACATATGTAATACCTTAATCAATAAAGAAAAAAAATTTAAAAAGATTTAAAAAATAGAATACTCGCTAAAATTTTAAAAAAGAATCAATAGCCGTAACCAGTTTGGCTCAGTGGATAGAGTGTCGGCCTGCAGACTGAAAGGTCCCAGGTTTGATTCTGGTCGGGGGCATGTACCTTGGTTGTGGGCACATCCCCAGTGCAGGGTGTGCAGGAGGCAGCTGATCGATGTTTCTCTCTCATCGATGTTTCTAACTCTCTATCCCTCTCCCTTCCTCTCTGTAATAAATCAATTGAAAAAAAAGAATCAATATATAATATGCAAAATATATGTTAACCGACTGTTTAGGACTCAAGGGTGGGGAACCTTTTTTCTGCCATGGACCATTTGGATATTTATATTATCATTCATGGGCCATACAAAATTATCCACTTAAAAATTAGCCTTGTATTTGGTCAAACATTTAATTAACTCACCCATAATGCCTTGGCAGGGCCAGAACAAATATTTTGACAGCCTTATAGGGCCTGGAGGCTGGATGTTCCCCACCCCTGGTTTAAGAGATGGGTAAGGCTTCTGGTCCAACAGTAGGCTATTAGTAAAGCTTTGTGGGAGTCAAAAGTTATATGTGGATTTTGACTCTGTTGGGGTCAGCATCCCTACCCCTGTGTTGTTCAAAGGTCAACGGTGTGTGTGTGTGTGTGTGTATGTACATATATATGTATATGTATGTATGTATGGTGAGAGAGGTTAATCACTATTATTAATAAAAAAGAGAAGAATATAAGCGCAGATTTTTGCGTGACTTTCCATTATAAAATAATGGCCTATAACCTACACACAACTGAGAAATTTTAGTATACTCACCTTGTAAGTGTGTTGCAAATTATTTAAATGTCACACATTCATGAATATATGCAGAATATGGACACATCTGACTTGGCTATATGAATAGGGATCATTCACACCTGCTGAGATGCTCACATGTTTAAAATGATTAGAAAACTCATAGGCTAAAAAGAATGGTCCAGCAAACACATTTCATCACCCAGAAAGAA